CATAAATTATTTTATTACTACAATTTTTATGCAATTTTATGAGTAAAACTTGTTTTAGTGACTTTTACGTATATTACAAGTGAAACCGTGGACAAGTTAGATCATAGCAAAATTCTAAATTGAATTGGGCAAGAACATGAGATCCCAAACTCTTTCTTGATGGCGTCTCATCGTCCATCACGGTCGCAAGAGCTCGACCATATCTGGCAGGCCGACGACGTAGAGTATGGTTGCCTATAAACAGTCTCGAGAACATTCATCTATTGACTAATTTTTGGATGGTGGACCCCAAAAAACACTTCGACGCCCCGTGATGGTGTCCTGTACCAGAAGGTACTCACCATGTTGTCTCCTGGCCAAGTGGACCGGGTGGAGGACCCCCATGACTGTTTATAAGTGGGCATCTCAAGGAGGCCCATGGTGCATAGAAGGTATATTCCCGAAGACTTGGTGCATACTTCAAGACTTGGAGTTCATCTACAACACGATTACCATAGCCGGTCGACTTATCTATAACCCTAGCCCCCTTATTATCTATATAAACCAAGGGTAGGTTTCGTAGACGACACAACAATCTCGTGGCAGATCACTTGTTTGTACTTCATCCCAAACTAATACATACACAAGGATGACTTAGGGTATTATCTCATTGAGAGAGCCCGAACCTGGATAAAACCTCCTATTTAGACTACTAGCTCGGGACCCCCTACCCGAGGTTCGCCGGAATCGACTCCGTCATTGGTGGCCCATATAGGTCTCGCTACGTAGTCATCGCGATTCGAGTGGGAACAAGATCAAAGAGCAGATTAGCGCCGGCATGACCTTCGTGCCAGACTAGCTCTTTGTTTTTGGCAGCATCACCCTTTTCGCTGACTCGACCGGCCAGCTGGGCCAGGTCGAGAACTTAGCTCCCGGACAGATCATGAGATTTGGCAACTTGGAGTACATCACGAACTCACGCGGAGAGCTAGCTTTCTCGAGCTGGGTGTCAGACCAGATCGAGGAGCAGTAGGACGCACCCGTCCCGACCCCGATGTCAGATCAGGATCATGACAAGAACTTCTCATCGGACACGATCATCTCCTCTGACCCGATGACCCAACCTAAGGGACAAGTGGCAGATCTCGTCCTACATAATGATCCCTGACTAATGTCAGATCGGATCATGGAAAAACTTCGCCTGACGCTGATGTCAAATCGAGCCAAGGAAGACTGCAACAAAGCCCTTACGAATGAGATGTTAGATCAGATCTAGAGGCTCACTATGTCAGACGACCATCCCTCTGTTTATATGATCGGATCTGGGATTCACTGGGGAAGGTTTGATTTTTTGACCCACCCATTGATACGTCTCCAACGTATCTATAATTTTTTTAAGTATTCATGATGTTATATTATCATTTTTGAATGTTTACAATCATTTTACAGCAACTTTATATCATTTTTTGGGACTAACCTATTGACATAGTGGCCAGTGCTAGTTGCTGTTTTTGCTTGTTTTTTACATCGTAGAAAATTAATATCAAACGAAGTCCAAACGCAGCGAAACTTTTTAGAGATTTTTTTTGGACCAGAAGACATCCAGTGGGGCAAATAAGTGCCGGAGGGGAGCCCCGAGTGGGCACAACCCACCTGGGCGTGCCTGGGGGCCCAAGCACGCCCTGGTGGGTTGTGCCCACCTCGGTGGCCTCCCGCACCGCCTCTTCGTCCTATAAATTGCCAAATATTCCAAAACCCCCGAGGATAACCCTAGATCAGAAGTTCCACCGCCGCAAGCCTCTGTAGCCATGAAAAAACAATCTAGACCCCAATCCGTCACTCCGTCGTAGGGGGAAATCATCACCGGTGGCCATCTTCATCATCCCGGTGGCCACCCTGATGAGGAGGGAGTAGTCCACCTTCGCGAGCGGTTGATCGCTTTGCTGGTTTGACCTATTTTTTGTTTTATTCACAATTTTCTCTGTTTTTTTCTTTGTTTCTTTCTCGGATGTCATTGATTTTTCTTTTCCTTTTTATGTGTTTCTATATCGGGATTCTTTTTGCTTTTCTTGATTTCTTTCTTTGTTTTTTCTTGGCTTTTAATTTGTTTTCCTTTGTTTTCATTGTTACTTTCTTTGTTTTCTCGGTTTCATTCTTTTTGCATTGGTTTCTTCGTCTTTTCATTTATTTTCCTTTTTTTGTTTTTATTGGCTTTCTTCATATTTCTTTGTTTTTTTCTAGATGTTTTATCGGTTTCATTTTTTTCAACACGTGTTAACCTTTTGTACACATTCAACATTTTTCTTATACATTAGAAACATTTTTATACACACATTTAACATTTCCAAATACATGATTACACTTTTCTTAAAAAAAACATATTTTTTATGTCTACTTTTTTCTACACGCATACTTTTGATTTATATCCAATACATATTTAACATCTTTCAAATACAAGTTTAACATTTTTTGAATACATGATCAACATTTTTTCTATACATGTTTAACCTTTTTTTCAAAATGCTTGATTAACGTTTTTCAAGTACAAGATTAAAAAAAATTGAGACATGTTGAACATTTTTCTATACACATTTAATATTTTTTTAAATGCTTGATTAAAAAATTTAAATTACAAAATTAGCATATTCTAAATACTTTTTCAACATTTCTTCTATACACATTTAAATGTTTTGTAAAATGCTTGATTAACATTTTTCAAGTACAAGATTAACATTTTTAATACATGGCAATATTTTTTATACACATTTAACATTTTTCAAATTGCTTGATTAAAATTTTAAAGTTCAAGATTAACGCATTTTAATACATGGTAAACATTTTTTATAGACATTTAACATTTTTCAAAATGCTTGATTAGCTATTTGTAAGTGTAAGTTTAACAGTTTTGGAATAGATGGTCAACATTTTTTCTATGCACCTTTCCCATTTTTTTCGAAATGCGTGACTAATATTTTTCAAGTACAAGATTCACACCTTCTCAAAGACTCCCTTTGCACTGAGAACACAATTCAGACCCATTTTTAATACAATGTCAACATTTTTTCTATACACATTTAACGTTTTTTCAAATGCTTGATTATCATTTTTAATGCATAATATTAATGTTTTTGAATATTATCAACTTTTTTCTACACATAGTTAGCATTTTGTTTTTGCAAAATGCTTGATTATCATTTTCCAAGTACAAGATTAACATTTTTTAATACATGGTTAACATTGTCTCTATACATAATTAACATTATTAACTCTTTTCAAAAAGAAGATTAACATTTTTTAATACATGGTCAACATTTTTCTGTACAAATTTAACATTTCTCAAAATGATTGAGTAACAATTTTCAAGTACAAGATTAACATTTTTTAATACATGGCAACATTCTTTCTATACACATACACACTTAAAAAAATTCGAATGCTTGATTAACATTGTACAAACACTTATTTAACATATTTTTTCAAATGGTTGATTATCATTTTGTTTAATACATTATCAATTTGTTTGACACACATTATAGTTTTTCGATACATGAGGTACATTTTCTATATACATATTATACGCTTTTCAAATGCTTGGATAACATTTTTTTCAAGTGATTTAAGTGTAAAATGTTTTTTTCGAATATATTTACTTGGAATATTTGGAAGTATAAACTAATGTAAAAAAAAGAAAGCGAAAAACGAAAAGAAAAAACGTGAAAAAAAACACGATGCTGTGGCTCCCGCGTGCCTGAGCCGGCCCATCTTGCGGTCGGCTTGACGCGAGAGTCCCGTAGACACAGGGGCGCCCTCGCGGGACGAGGGGAGAAGCGGCGGCAAGCGGCGGCGCAGGTGAGCTCCGGCCTCGCCCCTCCTCCCCCTCCTTTCCTGTCTCCGGCCAGCAACGGCCTTCCCCTCTC